TTGTAATCTCAGTTCTCCTATATTACTGAGTACGTTAAGAAAAATACAAACTTAGTCGAATATTAGCTAAATAAGAAAGATTACTAAGATCAGACTGATTAATGATTGTTGGCATCATAGTACAATGCAAATGAATGTTCATTTAGTGATGCTTTTAAGTAACAACCATAGTTCTTGTATTTATTGGACAGGAGTTTGTCGCTTTTTAACTAACTTCTCAAGTAGATTCACAGTGAAGTTAGCAATCAAACAAAGTTTGGATCTACTGCATTTGCAACTGGATAATCGATGTATTGGAGGTTTAGACCGTGTATAACTTACACAGATTTCAAAGAAGGCTTCCTGACATATTCTCCTGAATGGCCATTGTTTATCACTGATTAACTAATAAGAATCAAATTGTCAGTAAAACTCGATAATTTTTCACTTAAGAAGTGGTTAATACACCACTTTTTTTAAGTGGTAACGTGTTTACTGTGACATATAAACGTCCTGGATTCTAGCAACCGATATCTTATATCTCATAAATAATATTACTCTCCACTGCATAGTCCTCTGACAAACATTCACCCAATGAGTTGGTGTCGTGATTACATTTCAGAAATATCTATTATTGACCAGCAGGGATATCGTAGACAGGATATATTAAAGACATAATACTTCCCCGTCTGAATTATAGATGAAATCACATCCCATTGTAGGAAATTGCTGAAACTAACGGAAACTTACTTGGTATACGAAATGACACAGTTATCTGAAACACATTCATAGGTTGTATTATCTCACTTGATGTGCAATGTCTCCAAAAATATTCTTTGAGTTAGTAGTTCATAAGTTTTGTGGACTGACTTTAACTAGATGTTAATTGAGAACAACGGAGTACTTAGTGGCTGTTTTGAGTTCCACAACCATCATAGGTGTTATTCGTTACAATTTTATTTGGTTTGACTCATATTAATTGCTATTTATGAACGATCAAGACTATTCTAATGCGAACACAATTGAACTCGATGTAGTAGTAACTGACACATAACTATTCAATAATAATCCTCAATCATGGAACCTAACTGAAATGGAACAGTATAGAATAAAATCTAATTCTTTTCTAAGATAAAATCAATGTGTAATAGCCCTCTTTATATCGTAACCAAACATGACGTTGATGCTGAGAAAAATTATTAAACTTAACGTGGAGGCAACCAATCAAAAAATAACCAATTTCACGAAGAATTACATTCGCGGTTATTATGACATAAGTTCAGCATAGAGACGAATTAATCAGGATGAGGAGTCTGATTTTTAGGGTATTCCACGAGCAATAGGAATACCTTCGTATACTGCTAAAAGCGTACAACCACAGAAGAAATAGTAGCGTCAAATTTGTCAAATGGTCAATGGCATCTCTGTAGAGATTGCAAATAACGAGGAAATCGACACCATCTCTCAAATCTAGCTCTTAATCCTATAACAAATTTTAATTGAGTGACATTATATTTTCTGAAGGAACTAATTAGATGGAATCTCTTGCATTTTCACACAATTGAATTCATCCATTCAACCACAGAGCATTTTTGTATTATAGCTGATGTCAGTTCGTGACGAAAACCCTAGTCCTTATATTAACCACCTAACTCTAATCAAAAGTTATGTGAGGAATGCTAAAAATCAATTTGGGTTTTTAAAGGATCCAAGAAGGGTAATCTTTATCCATAAGGACGAATGTCATTCTTTTTTATTAATAGGCAGAGTAACCTGTAGAAGACCTTCATAGATTCATTATTCATATAACATTTTTTTTAAGCCTTACAATAAAATTGCTTTCTTTTCCATAATCTATCCATTAACGAAGGCTGTTTTCTATTTAGCTTAAATCCGGTTGTTTTAAAGTTGTTAATACTTTGTACTCTAAATGAGGCATACGCTAGCTTGAAACAGAAAAGAGGAAGGTCAACGAACACACTACGTTGGGAATTAAAAGCAGATATGATTGGGATGAATAGCAACTGGAAAGGATTGACCAGGATAGATTTGGATAGCGAATGCCAGTAATGAACCTATACTCCTCCATGAGGGGTAACAGGCGTAAGTAAGATATTATAATTACACGAAGGAACTAACACTTATTCACAAAACTAGATAACCTAAAGTCTTACTAGCAATGATTGATTACTAACAAGAAGTTCTATACTGGGATGAAACATTTGTTCACTGTTTCACAGTCTTCATCGATTATTTAACTTAAGTATGTTAATGATATAAATTACGAATGCCTTATATTACTGTTTGTTATTACCAATATAGACTTGTTAGTAATTTCGTTAGTATCAGAAGGAGTTTTTGTGTATATTATAGCAATTTTAATAGTTTAGATCATGAGTCGATTGGAGCAAGACCACCATGGAAAATCTAGAAGCACTAGACGGCTGTTTCATCCTTTGTGAAGCTCCCCAGCAGTATTCATCTAGATTTTCAATATCAGTCTTGCGCAATACATGTTTCAAATGTAGCAGCAGCCTCTGCATCAATAGGCTTCAATATACGCAAAGGAAAAAACAAGATTCTCAAATACAACACGAAGAACACCAACCCAGTCACACATGAAGAGGAAACTCTGGAAGAGGTGAAAACATTCACAAACCTGGGAAGCATCATTGATGAACAAGGAGGATCTGATGTAGATGTAAAGGCGAGGATTGGCAAAGCAAGGACAGCATTCCTACAATTGAAGAACATATAGAACTCAAAACAACTCTCAACTAATTTCAAAGTGAGAATCTTCAATACGAGCATCAAGACAGTCCTATTGTATGGAGCTGAAACGTGGAGAACTACTACATCCATCGTCAAAAAGGTACAAGCATTTATAAACAATTGCCTACTCAAAATACTCAATATTCACTGATGGGATATCATCAGCAATAGCCATCTGTGGGAGAGGACAAACCAACTTCCAGCTGAATAGGAAATTAGGAAAAGATGTTGTAAGTGGATCAGACATGCATTAGGGAAATTACCAAACTGCATCACGAGGCAATCTCTAATTTGGAATCCGGAAAGGAAGGGGAAAAAAGGAAGGCCAAAGAACACATTACACCGGGAAATAGAAGCAGATATGAAAAGGAAGAATTGGAACTGGAAAGAACTGGAAAAGATTGCACAGAACAAGGTTGGATGTAGAAAATTGGTGTGCGACCTATGCTCCTCCACGAGTGGTAACAGGCGTGAGTAAATAAGTACGTAAATACAATACATGTTTGATTTCTTAATGTCATCATCATCATCATCATCATCATCATCATCATCATCATCATCATCATCATCATCATCATCATCATCACCGTATAATAACTTAAGTAAACAAAATTATCAATCCATTAAATGATATATTTCTTCAATACAAATGAATTAGGTTGAAATTAATTCTCTAAATTTTATTCTGATTTATTGCATTCACTTTCTGGTTTAGTTTCATATGGTCTATTTTCAGAGTCCCTGAAGAAAGTAAAATATACAAATAAACATTAGAGTTTACAAAATTATCATTGATTTCTTATAAACAATTCAATTGAAGTTTCATCAATTAATAAATGATCCAATAGTTTGAATAAGGTTATAACATTTCTCTTCTTACATTGTGAACTCCGCCTGTAGCTCCTCCGGGGGGCTTCTGCCGGTCCCATGCTCGGGTAAAGGAAGAGGGTTGAACATGGGGTTAGCGACCCCATCCCGTAGAAAACCAACTCGCTAAAAAAACGCTTACTCTTACTTTGTAACTGTTAACCTTTAAAGAATGAAAAGTGTATTAAGATGGTAATTGGAGATAGTCAATAGGAAACCCTGGACCTAGGTTTCTTACTACTTGGCACTTGTCAGTAAGGTGTACCTGTAACCTTGACGGAACTGATACTCCTTGATAGATTCGATGACGTACCACACAGCTCCACAATCAAAGCGCTTACCATTGAGCTATCCGGGCAGCAACTGACCTTTTGTAGTACCGAGATGTATATACAATTGAGTGATCACTGGGTAGTGATCATTGTCATGTATGTCCAGAGTTTCCTGTTGACTACCTGCAACCAACACCTAGACTAGTGGCCACATAGAAAAATTGATCGGTAGGATTCGATCTGCATTAGGAAGGACCTGATACACATGACATTGATTATCACCCAGTGATCAACCAATTGTAATTGCTTTCTCGTAATAACCGAGTGACTGATTACAGTGTAGTTTTTCAGTGTATTAACACTTTCTCACCGTTAAATTCCTATAGAGGATAATTTATTATTACATCAAAACTTGTTTGACATATATTCAGTACTGATAGATTCTTATCGATTTTAACTGATGGTTTTGAGTGAAAAGTGAGATTTAAGTATAAAGCTTACAATGAGCACTCACTAATTTTGTAGTTGATGCTATCATTCTTTGATTTGCCATTCACTTACATCAAAGAATGTTTCAAACGGTGTCAGTTAAGAATTAATACATTCAAGTTTTATAAAATCTTAGTGTTTCTCTAAACTATGTGGCTCAAAGGATAATACTCTAGCGTTAACAGCAAACGATACTGAATTCGAGACCTAGTGCGAACATCGACACTGAGATGCAGGTATATCCGGACGACAGGTACCAAATAGGATGTAGCCTGCTTCTCAGATTTCGCTTCCAGTCACAATAAATATGTAACAATGATAATACTGAGACAATCTACACAAGATGCACATATATCAACTAAGACCGGTAGAAAAAATTCAGTTCTGAGTATCACAAACAGGCAGATTCAAACGTTTTCTAAGCATCACGTAGATCTGAAAAAATTTTCATTATATTATTTATGTGAAGAATGACTAGACGGTGATAGGATTACTCTCTCCCATTTAACACTTTGTGTCACACTATCAAATGAGCATTCGGTAGAAATGACATAGCTGTGACTATAAATTTGAAGAAAAAACACAACACATGAATTATTATATTATCAGAAAACCACTTACCCTGGTGCATAATTGCAAATGATCAAATAGTTCTTTCCACATTTTTCATAACCGCAGCCTATTGCTTCAGTGGTATTCCAAACCATCTGAAAGATTGGAAAGAAATAAAGTAACGACTGACAATAGTTTAGGAGATTTCAAATATCTATCCACAACCATATTCATAATGACATCAAAAGTTTCATCACATATCTTGTTAACTAACTTCAGAACTATGGGGAACACAGAAAACTTTTTCATCAAAAGCCAAGAAAAGAATAATCGGGAAGAGCATAGTATAATATCGAGATGGTGGAGATTTATAGATCAGGTGAATGATTTGGATGGAGTTTCGTTCTCTGAGTTGGATGGTTTAGTCGTAGAGCTTTCATAGTTCTTCTGAACAATATCATCAGGACAAACTTCAAGTAGAAGTGAAGTGTTCGAATTACTCCACATATAACTCCAAACTTGTCCTGTAGACCTAGATCTTGATTGGTTAACCTGTTATTGATTTTGATTGTATCTCCCGTTAATTTACTTCTTGTGCTGATGATGTCGTTCAGAATAACGGTAGAAGCTCCACGACGAAGCTAACCAGCTCAGAGAAAAAATCACCAAAAGAATAATATGTAATATACAATGGTTAACAAATCGTGAAAGTCAGCAGTTTGGTATTTCAGATTAGGTGTGAGACCGTTAAAGATAGATCGCAGCTCTCTGAGACAAGAACTAGTTAATTTCAATGGGATCTGTAGAGGAATAAATTGGTATAAATATGTTGAAATCGTCAGCATATCCAACGAAAGTGCTTTTTGTGGAAGATGGGCAATCATGGAGAAAGGAGAAAAGAAAAAGGGAAAGAATGTCTCATTGTAGCACATCAGCTTTAGTTAATAGAGAATAAAACTTATCTTCAAGCACAATATACAGTTCGGCATCAAAGAAATAGGAACACAGCCAGTTGGTTAACCAACTGTCGGTTTTAACACCTTGAAACTTATTTATAAATAGCGGTTATGGGCGAGAGTTGAAGGCAGAGTGTAGTGTAGAAATCTCATCGTACACTAAATAAAGCTCTCAACCAATTTTAAAAACTGAGTTATACAAACTTGTTTGCCTAGTTGTTATATCCCGACGAGAATTATGAATGGTAACTTTTGAGAACTGTTTATGAACCAATGTATAATTGTTAAGTAGCTAAACTATGCATATTCATGTTTACCGTATCATAAGCTTTATTTTGACCCATAGACTATTATTATACGATTTACCATTCTTGAGTTATACCCAGTCTATTAATGATAGTCTCCCACATTTACTGCCACTTTGGCTACATCTTGTACAAATGTTATTTTCTATTTTACGGTGTTATGTGGTCTGTTTGGTTGGTATATAAATTCAGTATGTTTGAAATATATGATTCATATTGCAGAGGTTGTTATTGATGTTCTGGACTTAGCCCCCAAATGCACTGGTACATCCGAGAGTAGGGAAGACCCTCTCTCTCTCTCGAAATACTTTCACACAGCCACGCGTATACAGACTCTGTCAGGAAAGTCCAATTCACTGCTTTCTCACACCACGGATGTTGTTTACGATATTGAGAGGACGAAAAGCGAATGTCTAATGTTTTAGCCAGGTTGGTGATGGACACGGCGAGTCCACCTAGGGGGGTTGGAAAACCCTGATTCCAAACCAATGTTGTACATGGGCTTCAGTATCTTGAGGGAACAAATGGTGTATCAATCGTTGGTCACCAGTTACCGTGGGACTGCATCTCCTCACGATGCTATTCTTTAATTGACGATATCATTACATCATGTCGGGGGGGGGGTACAAGATTACAAGTTATAACACTATATTAAATAGAATCATTAAAACAAACCTGTTTATAGTTCTTACAATCACCATTACATTGATTCTTTTCAAAATTATAATTTTTATATTCTTCTAACCAATCTTTCATTGCACTATTCAATAAATGAATGAATGAATGTATATTACGTAATATCAATTTACCCTTCAATTGTTGGATAATCGGCTAAATTTTGTCCAATTGATTCAAAATCACCAATAATAAAATCATTTGGATCATTTGAATCATATTTACATCGTTTAGCTTGATGTTTAGCTTTATTAGCTAATAGTTTATTCCATTTCTTAGAAAGAAAATAGATTTTAATTAATAAATGAATGTTAATTAATTCAATTTAATGAGCTTATTACTTATGAGAGGGGGTGTTGTTTACGAAATTGAGAGAATGGAAAGCGAATGTACGGCGCATTAACCAGGTTGGTGGACACGGAATGTTCACATCTATGGTACACATAGGCTGGCTTCAGTATCCTGAGGGAACAAATGGTGTATCAATCAATTGTTGATCACTGGCTATCATGGGAATTCATCTCCTTACAATGCTACACTGCCTTGTGGATCAGATCTTAAGGTGAAAGGCTGTTGGTGTGGCTCCCTAAGGAAACCACCTGCTTTGGTCTGGGAACCTGAGCAATATCACAGCCTTCACACAAATGAAATGAGATTTGTGTGACGCATATATATCTGGTTCCCCTTTTGTACCAATATTTATGTGTTAAAATGAATGAATAAATTTAACTTAACCGATAAATAAGAATATGATGTCATTAGAACGACTAAAGTGTTATAGACTAGTGAGGGGAAGTTTATATGTGTGTGTTATTAATATCATTATAATCCGATTAAATTAATACTCTCCCTCTTTATCTTTCTTTTGGTGGTTGACTAGATTATGAAAACCCTGACATCTAACGGGAAGTATGAAATACAATAAACAGCTTCGATGCAATTAGACGATTTGGACTTCTTAGGTGTCCTGATCATTCTATTCTATACACGCGAATAAATGCAGATGCAGACAACTAGTTTAGCAGCAGTCTCTGCATCAGTAGACTTCATCATACACAAGTAAAAAAGCAACATCCTCAGATGCAACGCACAGAATATCAATGCAATCACACTTGATGGAGAAACTCTGGAAGATGTGGGATCTTACACGTACGTGATCAGCATCATGGATGGACAAGGAGGATCTGACACAGATGTGAAGGTGAAGATTGGCAAAGCAACGACAGCATTCGTACAATTGAACATATGCAGCTCAAACAACTATTTGTCAAGCAGTATCAAATTCAAAATCTTCAATATGAACGTCGAGGCCGTTCCACTGTACGGAGATGAAACTTGAAGAACTCCCACAACCATAATCAAGAAGGTACAAGTATTTATAAACAGTTGTCTGTGTAAGATGTCTGTTGGAGAAAACAAACCAGGTCCTACCTGAAGAGAAAATTAGGGAAAGACGCTGGAATTGGATAGGATATATGTTTAGGAAATCATCAAACTGCATCACGAGGCAGTCGCTGACTTGTAATTGTGAAATGGAACGAAAAAGAGGAATGCCGTTGAATACAATACGTCGAGAATTGGATGAAGACATGGAAAGGATGAATAGAAAATGTAAATAACTGTAAACGATTGCCTAGAACAGAGATGGATGGAGAATGGTGGTGGTCGGCCTATACTCTTTGAAGCAGAGTAACAGGCGTAAGTAAATTAGGCGAATAAATTAATAGATGGATAAGCATGTTAATGTACTGTATAAAAACGACCAAATAATTTATTACGAAGAGCTTTGCGCCCAGTGTGTAGATTACACCACTAGGTGTAATATTGCATTCTTAATCAAATGGTGGAGTAAAATGTGTCTATAGTTTTTAGCTTTAGTTTTGCAGGTTATGTGAACGAATCAATTAAGTGCTTAGATGAAAAACAGATCTATAATCAGATGGAGAAATACTAACTTACCAACTTTTTTAGACTCTTAGCTGGTGGTTGACCAGGTATCTTGCAATTTTGTACATCTTCACGAACTTTTTTATGAAAATTGTAGATTGTTCGTTGTCCTTCCGATAACTTTGTTTCCACATTTAAAAATGTGAATAGAAATAATAAACAGCTAACTAGAACAATCTTAAACATACTTGATTAGAGAGATTATAGTACAATGAATAAAATGGAATATTTATACAGGTTACCATGACAGGTTTACATGTGGCACAAGTCGATTTCTGTATATTCATTGTCAATGATTAAATGTCGCTGATTATTAATTCAATAGTATAACATGATAAGATTTATGATTTGAAGGTAAAAACTTCCTACTTGTCAACTATACTTAATTTCCAGAAAGCATTTTGTTATATCCCCTGGTGAATTATTTGTGTTCTGGACTTAACTGGCTGGGCTAGGCAGATAGGAAGGACCGAATAGCACCCAAGACTGCTTGTACGATTTCAATCATCATTTGCGGCCGATCAATAAATTCACTCCTCTCTAATCACACGTTCATACAAATTACGGGCGCATACGATATAACACATTTAGAAAAAAACTTACCGATATAGATTTAATTAGCTTCTATGAAAAGTGGTATGTTATTGAATTCATCAATGAAAGACAATGGTAAATGCATCAACTAATCATTCTCATTGTCTGTCAATTATCTATGACAATAGAAATGGTTTGATTTCGGTAAATAAGTTGGAGAAAAATTGTATTTCTTGAACATATTACTGGAAACACATAATAAATATTGTTAATTATCAGAGTGTGGGTTTGTAGAGATTGTAATGATTTTAATAGTTGAATTCATAAATCTTATTTATTTACTTAAATACATAAATATTGGCACAAGGAAGCACCAGATAGATATGCGTCACACAAATCAAGAGATTTGTGTGAGGGCTGTGATACTGTTCGGATGCCCAAACCAAAGTAAGTTGTTGACTTAGGAAGCCACACCTCCTAAAGCCTTCGATATAAAGGTATCATCCACAACGCAGTGGAGCATCGTAAGGAGGTGCAGTCCCATGATAACCTGTGACCAAAGAGTGATTCATACGCCATTTGTTCCCTTAAAATACTGGAGCCCATACGTGCCATTGGTTTGGAATTAGGGTTTCCCAACTTTCCTTGGTGGACTCATCGTGTCCACCAATCCGGTTAAAGCACCGGACATTCGTTTTTCGTCTTCTAAGTTTCGTAAAAAGTACCTCCGCCACGAGAAGGCAGTGAGTAGGACTTCCTTGACAGAGTCTGTATACGCGTGGTCTTGTGAGAGCATTTGGAGAAGGGGGAGCGGATTCTTCGCACTTTCGACCGTACCGGGGCATTTGGAATCAATTTATGAGTCGATATAAGCTAGATCACTATTGGAAGCTTGACAACACTGGATTGCCATTTCATCCTAGTATGGGATTCCTCAGCAGTGAGTGTTCGCGGTCCTGCACGGAGAAACGGGACTTCGGACCTCCGGTCTCGCACGCGAACGCCTAACCTCTAGATCACTGAGCTGGCACCCAACGGTGTTAATGCTCGCTAGTGATTGGCTTCAACATGGAGTTCTAGTGAGAAGCCGTTGCCAGTAGAGTTCAATCCGTGTCGGGTAGAGACAGATATCTACCTCAGACAATGGATGAAGGGTTGCGCAAGGTTATGAATCAATTGAAGTTAGACATTAACACCGTTGAATGCCGGATCAGTGGTCTAGAAGTTAAGCGTTCATGAGCGAGATCGAAGGTACCGAGTTCGAGTCCTTTTGGTGTGGGATCATGGCTGGGCACTACTATACTATGACGAAACGGCCATTCAGTGCTTTCAAGTCTTCAATAGTGATCTAGCTTATATCTGCTCATTAATTCAACTATTAAAACATCGTAAACACATATCTTATGATTTGCAATCAGTTAGTCCATTCTAACTGAGAAGTAATAGATTAAGTTACGTTAACTGCATGAGATTTAGTAAGATGACAAAGTGACAGCCAACTGAACTGTATTATCATTCAAGATTTATTATGTTATTGGTAACATCATAATACTCGACACATCTTGTTAATCATGTGAAAGGAAAACGATATAATTAAGCATGACAATGTGAGGTTTAATTATTCAGATCAAAGCTATTATCCTACCGTTATTTCATTTCGTTGCATTTTTAATTGTTTTACACTAAGACAGTGTCTGCTGATTAACTGATCAGTCGACCAAGAACATTAGTACATTATACTTTTACTCATACAGTGTCATAGTCAGTCACATGAGATGCTATCTTGTTAGTTAGTGACACACTTTCAATTAAAATTTAAGACATTTTATAGATTGTTTTCAGTAAGAATGCTTAGTAAAGCTGAGTTTGTTAGAAGAGTCAATTAATGAAAGAAAAAATCCCCCCCCCCAAAGTCACAGTATATTTAGCAAAACGGAATGTTTTCAATTGAACTTAAATAATGAAAACATCATTGGGTTAGGAATAGAATTAAAGTTTTCAGATGATTAAGTTCAATTTAAGACTTAAATTTGAATTATTTTCTGATTAGTGTTTTTTTTAGCAAGTTAGTTTTCTACGGGATGGGGTTGCTAACCTCATGCCGAACCCTTCTCATTTACCCAGGCTTAGGACCGGCAGTAAGTCTATAAGAGCTACAGGCAGAGTTAGATTTAAAGTTAAAGGTTGACATTTGTTCCATTCATTCTTTATGAACTTTAGTCAGGGTAATAAATGCAAACATAAATCAATCTGAAATTTTATGATCAATATTTCCGTGGACTAATTCAGTATAAACATTTTGTAAGCTCTTTCTCAATATGACAATCTTATTTCCTATAGTAAATCAAGTGGACTACTTATTTATTGAGCGTGTTTTCAACAGTAACTAAACTTATTCCTTTCCCCCTTTCCTCCTCCCCCTCCGACGATGCGATTTTACTGTTGTCAGGTAAGTATTATGAAAAAATAACTTCTGATAATCATTTATTAATTAGTTGAAAGCATGAGTCAATTGAAGCTCGACCACCGAGGGAAACCTGGAAACACTGGACGGCCGTTTCGTCCTATTATGGGACTCCTCAGCAGTGCGCATCCACGATCCCGCTCTCGCGGGATTCGAACCCAGGACCTACCAGTTTCGAGCCAAAGCCCTTAACCGATAGACCACTGAGCTGGCATCCAACGGTGTTAATGTCTAACTTCAACTGATCCACGAAGTTGAGCAACCATTCACCAATTGTCATCAGTGAGTTCCTATCTCATAACAGACGTGGTTTTGAACTCCACTGGTCACTGCTTCTCACTAGAGCTCCTAGATATACTTCTCGAAGTCACTAGTGAGCATATTATTATATTAATTATAAAAGGGGTTTTGTGGAGATTTAGTATTTATTATAGTTGAAAGCGTGAGTCAATTGAAGCTAGACCACCAAGAAAAATCTGGAAACACTGGACGGCCGTTTCGTCCTATTATGGGACTGCTCAGCAGTGCGCATCCACGAAACGGCTGTCCAGTGTTTCCAGATTTTCCTCGGTGGTCTAGCTTCAATTGACTCATGCTTTCAACTATGAAACATACCAAATCTCCACAAAACCCCTTCTAATAATTTTATTAATTATCCAATAATGAGGATATTCTATTGTTTATTACATAATCATATGTATATACATATCAAAATTGGAATTGATCTTAACGTGAAGTATGATAATGTCACTAATTAATAAACTATCAAAGAATTTCTATATAAACTCTTCATTTTGTTCAAATGGTTATTTGAATGTTTAAATGATGATTAAACTTAGTTTAATTTTCTTATTGAATATAATAATAATAAATGCAGATAAGTCATCTACGAAGGATTTGATCTTCAATTTTCATAATAAAATTCGTGAAGATGTACTTAAAGGTGTTTTACATGGTCAACCTAAAGCGAAAAAGATGTCTAAACTGGTAAGTTAACTTACTTACTTGCTTACATACTTACTTATTTACTTGCTTACTTACCTGCTCGCTTACTTGCCTACTTACTTACTTACTTACTTACTTACTCACTTGCTTGCTCGCTTACTTGCTTACTTACTTACTTGCTTACTTACTCACTTACTTGCTTGCTTACTTACTTACTTTCTTGCTCGTTTACTTGCTCGCTTACTTGCCTACTTACTTACTTACTTATTTACTTACTTACTTACCTACTTGCCTACTTACGCTTGTTAACCCTCGTGGAGGAGTATAGCCCGCCAACTAGCACTTTCCATTCTTATAACTAACTATAAAAAGAAATTTGATTCATTGTAAGCTTTATAGAAATGAGTTCAAATAAAAGTTGTATTTTATCATGGATGAATGTTATTTGATGAATGAGCAGATAATACGGAGAATTGGATAGTTGTTTTATCATAGTATAAGCCTTAACAGATATGTATATTGATGATTTCACTTGAGATTGTTGTCAGAATATTAAGCTTTTATAAAGACAGAGTTACTTTGAAACGATCCTGTCGATTTTTATTAATTCATATTTCTAAGGTAAATCAGTCCATAATATATTTTGACATTATCCAGTCTCATTCATGGACTATGATCTCAGCTTACAAAGGCTACTGAAAGCCCGTCATTTGACTGATTAGTTAATAATTTCAGCCAAACTCACAATATGCTTGAATTTCACAATCAGTAATAACTTTTCACCAAGACTCATTCATTCTGAAAGCATTACAGTAGTTTGATTAAAATTTACTCACTTCTATCAGTCACAATACTTGATGAAGTGAAGTTTTTTTAGTATTTTTCTAGTAGTTTACAGAACTACGGAAAGAAATGATCATACTATATGAGCTTCATTAAAATGAACTTATTACCATTATAAGGTAATCCTGTTACCAACATGTTTTTATCTAGAACATAGTCGAGTTAAAGTCATTAAATCACAGTGTTTTGAGAAGATGTCAAAACGTCTTGATCATAATGTTAAACATTCATGATTTGCACCATTCAGAAACGCTTTAAGCTGACAGTTGGTGGAATTTTGTATTATGAACTAACAGGAACTGAAGGATGTCAAAACGTCAAAAGTCCTTAGACAAATGTTTTGTTGATGTTAGAAATGTGAACTGTTAAACTTGAATGTAACAAGTTCACTAGAAAACTTATATTTCTACAATTCTATTATATGTCAGGTTTTGATATGAAATGTCAAACCACAAATGCTTGGTAGTTTATTAAACATTGCATCTTGAATGAATACATGAGATAAACTTCTACGTTTGTTAGTTATGAACGTAGCTAAATAAATGAATAATGCCGTTGTGCTTAAATGTCAAGCACCTTGAGTCAATTTACACTTAGTGACTTGTTTATATTTAGTTACTAATCGAACAAAGTTTTCTTTAAATTTATTATTAGCTTCTGAAACACAATGAATGTGGTTGTATAGTCATTGATGACTAACTACATGTTTCTAGTTCTTACTTTGATCACTACATTAGGTCACCTTTTTTACTCATGAAAATCGGTCTTTTGTGATTTCTTTAAGTTCATGAAGTACAACTTCGTCCTTAGAACTGGCACTGGAACGATGTAAAGAAGAAAATGAAACAACAATTAGACAGATGAAACAAAAGAAATAAAGATAAGAAAAATATACTATGATATATAGAAAGTGATTTGAATCAAACAAGATAGACTCACCTAACATATGTAAAATAATATTTTTACAACTTAAGTTCATGCATTTATTGGACGTTTTCATTTCTTCAGAGGATTGCTGTTATGACACATAGTGTCCATGGTTTGTTACTGATACACACCTTTGTTTAAAACGAGTCTGGCTACTATAGAGGAAAGACAAAGTGAGAAATCAAGTTTACTAGGCTTAACTGAATCATATATGTATACTAGAAGATATATATATATATCCTTTGAAAGATTAATTCTATCGGCGGTTTATGTTTTATTCTTTGAACATAGGAACCATATTTGGCCATTCACAAACAATGATCATTTGCTGATTTCTGATTGACCCACTATATCAATTAATGTATTAAATTAAGTAACCACTGTTTAAATAACTTAAAGTTTTATCAGAAGGGGTTTTGTGGTGATTTTAGTAATTTATAGAGTTGAGATCATGAGTCAATTGAAGCTAGACCACTATGGAAAACCTGGACGGCCGTTTCGTTCTATTATGGGACTCCTCAGCAGTGTGCATCCACGAACCCACTCTCGCGGGATTCGAACCCAGGACCTACCAGTCTCGAGCCAAAGCCCTTAACCAATAGACCACTGAGCTGGCACCTAACGGTGTTAATGTCTAATTTCAACTGATTCACGAAATTGAGCAACCATTCACCAATTGTCATCAGTGAGTTCCTATCTCACAACAGACCTGGTTGAACTCCACCGGTTACTGCTTCTCACTAGAACTCCAGGAAATACCTCAAGGAGTCAGTCACTAGTGAGCATCTGATTATTATCAGAAGGGGTTTTGTGAAGATTTTAGCACTGCTGAGGAGTCCCATAATAGGACGAAACGGCCGTCCAGTGCTTCCAAGTTTTCCATGGTGGTCTAGCTTCAATTGACTCATGATCTCAACTCTATAAACTTAAAGTTTTGTTTAAAATAATATTATTATCTGCTTTATTTTAAGAAATGGAATAAACTTTTAGCTAAATTAGCTAAAGATCATGTTGAAAAATGTATTCTTGATAGTGGAGATCTTGGAAAATTATACGTTGGTAAATTTGATTCTGTCGGACAAACTGTAGCGGAACATACTTCAATACAAAAGTAAGATATGTACAATATCAAATTTTTGTAAGATATCTAAAACTATTTCTTACATCTTAAATTTCATTTTTATATCCATGTCAAAAGGTAAGGGTATAGAATTGAAAGCTCGTGATGATACGATTTGACTACATTCACTCCTTGTGAAGTAGTCTCACTGCAACCATTAGATCTTAACAATAAATGTTACTTCTTTGTTATATCCAAATGCGTAGTAAAACTGAATTTCTGACATTTTTTTCGCTTAATGTAAACCAGTTCTTCAGAGCAAATAAGTAGATGAATAAATTAGATCTTGGACAGGAATCTACTAAAATTAATTCAGACAGTACGTTTGGTTTGTATATTTATGGTGAGTTTCCTCCAAACATTTCTTACATTATTTCAAAGTTGAAATCATGAGTCAATTGAAGCTAGACCACCATCGAAAACCTGGAAGCACTGGACGGCCGTTTCGTCCTATTATGGGACTCCTCAGCAGTGCGCATCCATGAACCCAGATTTTCGATGGTGGTCTAGCTTCAATTGACTCATGATTTCAAATTTGAAATATACTGAAATCTCCACAAATCCCCTTCTGATTTCTTACATTATTATTCTTTTATTTCAGCATATTAGATACATGGTTGGAAGAAAAGAATGATTACGATTTAGACAAGAATACATGTGAAAATGAATGTGGAAACTATAAACAAGTATGTTGTTTCAGTTTAGGGTTTTGTAGAGATTGTGGAGTTTTCACAGTTTTCGGTAGGATTAAACTATACGGACGACCTTTGAACGAATCTTAAATGACCTTGAGAAATATTAGCTAATCAGAAGACAGTTAGTATACAGTAAAAATATATTATACAAAACCAAAGAATTAAAGTTGAAACACTTCTTTTACATGGGTCAAAAACTTTTCAAGGTCAGATATAGGTTCAGAAGTTCTAAAATCATAGTGCATACGGTACAGGAACACATCCATATGGCTCCATAGTAGTCGACCTCTGAAACCATGATAAGGTCCCAAAAATTCTTTTAATCTCGACCACATAGTTTCAGTGTTGTCGGAATGTTGGTATGGTTTAGGGTTTAGGATTAGGGTTAAGGTTTAGGGTTACGGTTTAGGGTTAAAGGTGAGACTATAAATTATGGACGACATTTGAGCGACGCTACAGTGAATCTGAGTGTCAACGTAATAACTAAGACTAAATGAGGGTTATAAACCTGTATTAAGAATTCAAATTATGATTTACAGTTCATGGTTAAGGTTAGGAATTATACCCGCGAAAGCTTCTGATTGACTCGTCCATGTTCTTTAGTCTCACCGGGTATTCATCACGAACTGATATCAGCTATAATGCCAAAACTCTATTTATCCAAATGGATAATTGAATTTCGCGCCAAAATCTTATGATCACTTCTATTGTAGACGCTAAATTATCACGTCTTCCCTAAAATCCGCTGTAAACCGACCGTACGTAAGCATCAGGTACCGAACTTAGCGCCGTGACCTTGAAAACCCGCGAAAGCCTCTGATTGGCTCGGCAGTATAGTTTAATCCTACCCAGTTTTCATTATTATGATTATTACTATAATCTTTATTTAAAATTATATTTTCGGTACACAATATAGAATTTTCAGCACAATGTGTTTCAACAAGTTTCCGTTTCTTACCTCTTGGTCGATCCTGAAGATAAATATTGAGTGATCGCGAGTTAGAAGTTAGCACTTCAGTCAATCAACATCTAAATAATGTACATTCTTCTCGCTGCATATTGCCAGAAACCACGATATCTTTGATTGGGCCTTCTGTAACTTGTACAGCGAAAGGTTGTACACTTTTCAGAAACGCGTCTGAATAAGTTATGCTATTAATACTCATAACGATGTATTGAAATAAACAACTTGTTTAAATATCTAGATGACGGGAAGGGGTAACTCAAACGTTTTAGCAGGGCTCCTATTTGTCTGAGCTACCTTTGAAAATCAGGAGGCACTGGGAAGTTGTTTTTTTCTAATACAATGCGCCTCAGAAGGGCAAATCTACGACCCCCACACGAGTCGAACCCAGGACGTTCCGTCTCACGTATGAGCTCTTTACCTTGAAGATACGACCGGTATTGTAGTTTTGCAACTATAAACCAATAACACCTTCTATATTGGAATCGTCCCCCAATCGATTAAAATCAGAAGTCAGATGCGAAGAGATTGGAAAGATATATTCGATGCGTTATCAATAGATCGAGAAGTGTTTACTCTAATCTGGCTAGTGAACGTAGGAGCTGCTTTCCACGCTAGGTCGTAACGTGATCTGGTTCAGATGCATGACCGAATGCCTTCAGTTAAACAAGTCCACTTAAAACAATTTGGTCAGCATTCAATGTCGATTACTTAAAGAGCTATTGATTTTGAAGAATTTTTTACAGCTACAATCTCTAGACAAATGAGGTTAATTGTTCGCTCTCGAAAACCAAATTAATGGGTTCAGTTCACTGTGGCGGAATCGTGGATGTGAACTTCTGAGAAGTTAGATACTTAAACGAAACAACTGTCTAGTGCTTTCTAGTTTTCATCAATGGTCTAGTTGGAATTAATTCGTAATTTAAACAATCAAAAATATTTTGAATTGTCAAAAACTAAGCAGATTTGATGGTTTAAGAAAATTATTTCTAATGGATCTTATTTATTTAATATTCAAATCTTAGTTATACATATTGTGTTTGTGTACAATTCAAAGCTAAGTTCATTGGTCAATAAACCATTGTATCGACTTTCTAATAGTTTATTATTTAAGTAGATTTTTTCAGTTTTATGTCAGTATATTGGTATTATGAAAACGATACCAAGGAATTGTTTACATAATCTTCTGTACTGTGATATTTCTTCAGTAGTTTGTTGGTTAAGCATTGAATTTATACTGATTAAGTCAATTAAAATGAATTTTTAAATACATCTAGTAAAACAACTGAATAGTTGCTTGTATGAATACAGTTTGAGTGATAACTACATATGAGACTATTTTACTTAACTGTTTCCTGTAGTTAATAGTTAAATCCCTTCTGATAATAATAATAATCGTATATACACTAGTAACTGGTTTAAAGAGGTGTTTACTGGAGTTCTAGTGAGAAGCAGTGACCAGTGGAGTGCAACGGGGTTTGTTATAAAATAGTAACTAAACGAAGACAGTGGTAGATTGTGGCTCAATTCCGTGAATTGGTTGAAGTTGGACAATAATACCGTCGCGTGCCAGATCAGTGGTTTAGTGGTTAAGCGTTCACGAACGAGACTGATGGGTCCTGGGTTCGAATATCGCTGTTCGGTATCGTGAGTGCGCACTGCTGAGGAGTCACATACTGGGACGAAACATCCGTCCGGTGCATCCAGGTTTTTCATGGCGGTCTAGCTTCAATTGGCTCATGAATTCAACTATAAAACTAGTGAAATCTCCACAAAACCCCTTATGATAAAATAATATCAATTATATACAACTATGTATTAGTGGAATATAGATTGGATCAAAGCACGTTTTGTTAAGGATTGTGTTGCTGCACTTTGATTGACCATTTCATAACTAATCAGCGCTAGTGGACACTTGGAAAAGACTCTAGGATCTTCCCATGTTAAAACTATAAATATACTAACGTATCTCTTATTGCGCTTCTTATTCTTACGTTCCTGTTCAACCTGGTTCTGATTTGGGGACATTTCGAGCAATGTAGTGTGCCAGAATATTAAGCAACAGGAATAGGTGGGTTGTAATTAGAGAAATTATAACGCAAGCACACTGACCAACTTCTTTAACGAACACTTACTTTACGCTTCTTACCCTCAATGGAGTGTAGGTCACCAACCAGCATCCTACAACCCACTCTGTTCTGGATCTTGCTTTCTAGTTCTGTCCAACTGTTGTTCATTTTTGTAATGTCTGTCCCAATTTCTCGGCGTAATGTGTTCATTGGTTTTCCTCTTCTCCTTTGGCCGTCAGGATTCAATGTGAGGGGTTGCCTTGTGACGCAGTTAGTGATTTCCTCAATGTGTGTCCTATCCACTTCCAGCGCTTCTTATTGATTTCTTCCACCACTGGAGTCCGGTTTGTTCTCTCTCACTGTAGGTTGTTGCTGATAGTGTCTGGCCAACGGATCCGAAGTATCTTGCGCAGACAACTGTTAGTAAACACTTATGTCTTCTAGATGATGGCCTTCGTAGTTCTCTAGGTTTCCGCCCAATACAATAGAACTGCCTTGACATTTATATTGAAAATTCTGATCTTCGTGTTGGTGGACATTTCTTTTGAGTTCCAAATGTTCTTCAGTGGTAAATACGCTGTTCTTGCTTTTCTGATCCATGGCCATGCTGATCTCTTCAATTGTTGGTGGGTCAACATCGATTGGGAGGTCTGTGGGTGGTGCTTCGATGTTGGGTGAGTTCAGTGGAGCTGGTTGATTCAAGAGTTCTTTGAAGTGTTCTATCCACCTGTTTTGTCGTTCTTCAATGTCGGTGATTACTTTGCCCTCCCTGCTTTTCACTGGTCTTTCTGGCTTACAGTAATTTCCAGCAAGTTTCATTGTTGTATCATTGAGTTATCTCATGTTTTCTTCTCTTGCAGCCTTTTCCACATATTTACGCCTGTCGATTCTGATGCTCCTCTTCACTTGCTTGTTTACTTCTGTGTATTCGGCTTGTGCCTTGGCTTTTTCTGCCCTTGTTCGGCTGGTATTGATTGCTGCCTCCTTCTTCTTTCTTTCTTCAATCTTATCCAGTGTACCAACAGTGGTCCATTCCTTGTGATGTTTCTTCTTGTAGCTCGGAACCTCCTGACATGTTGAAGTGATTGCCTCTTTGATTACTTTCCAGTTGTTCTCCATAGTGGTTCCCTCTCCATTCAGTAGATCATGAATGGTCTGGAACTTATTGTTGAGGACTATCTTGAATTTATTGAGTTCGTCAGTATCCCGAAGAAAAGCCGTATTAAACCTTGTGATGTCCGCCCCATTGCCCAATGCTTCTTAAGCTTCGATTTCATCTTGGCGACCAGCAAGTGATGATCTGATGCCATATCAGCTTCTCTTCTGGTTCTCACATCCTCCATCGTCCTCCTGAACTTTTTGTTGTTGATTCAGATATGTTTAATTTGGTTGTGCGTAGTGTGATCCGGTGAAGTCCATGTGGCTTTGTTAATGCGTTTGTGTGGAAATATAGTGCCCCCTATGACCAGTTTATTTAAGGCACCTAGATTTGCAAATTTCTCACCATTTTTGTTCCTTTCTCCTAGTCCATGTCGTACCGTGATGTCTTCATAGCCGGTGCTGTCCATTCCAACCTTGGCATTTAAATCTCTCGTCAGAATGGTCAGGTCCTTTTTTGGGTATTTCTAGACGATCGACTGCAGCCTGTCGTACAATTGATTTTCAACGTCTTCATTGTAGTCGATGGTAGGCGCATAGCATTGGGTGACTTTCATTGTAATACCGTCTTTCTTCGTTTTGAAGGAGGCTTTGACAATTGCGGATTCATGAGTTTCTCATCATATGAGTTCATTTTGTGCTTCTTTGGAAAGCATCAATGCCACTCCTTGTGTAGGTGGGGCATTTTCTACTTCATGGCCGGAGTATAACAGAAGCTCCCGTGAAGTTAGTCGTTGTTGTTCGACCGGCATCCAATGTGTTCCACTTATCCCAAGCACCTCTAGGTTGTATTTCCTCATTTCTATAGCAATTTGAAAGGCTCTCCCGGCCTCCCACTTTATACGAACATTCCATATACCTGGAAAAATGGTTGGTCTGGTTGTCAGAAGGGGAATCATCCTTGTGGCTTCCGAAAGAATTCGGTTTTCACCATTAGGCGTCAAAACTCTTCTAAATGAAGACATTCTAACTCCCAGGGTAGAGTTTAAGTGGTTCGAATGGTTTTTTCTGGCTGGTGATTTTTTTAGAGGGTTAGTCTTCTAAGGCATGCGTCCGCTAACCCCATACCCAACCCTCCTCCTTTATCCAGGCTTGGGACCGATATTAGCCCCCAGGGGCTCTACAGACGGAGTTTTAACAAGCTCTGTATGTCATTATTTGGATATGAAATTTACAGCTAATGGTTACGGTTTATATCAAGAGTCTAGCTACTGAAAAACTCAAGTACTGTTCATCCTCTGCCCTCCTATAGAAATGAGAGGATTAAGTTATCAGTCAACATTCTGACTCTAAACCGTAACTCCTTAGCCTGAACACTATAAACCTAACATCCTAATCAGCGTAACAACAGTTGTGGATTTTATCGAAGAATACCATGTTTTTCACTTTAATAAACGTGTAGTTAATCTCAATAAATTAATTAATGTTATTAAAACTCTAGATCCTTTATAATTTCTTTCAGCTCTTCTTGTAATACACATTTCATTCACAACAACTCCAACCTCATAGACTGGACTCTACGTCCTTTACTTCAAAGTCGCCTTTACAATTTTCTTTAGGCTATTAACACAGTATAATTTTACCTCACTAGAATTCATACATCACATCTATTCAATTATAAACAAAAAAGATGTCATTCGACCATAACTTATGGAAGAGTTTGAATGGTGACTAATCACTGTTTATAACTTTGTATACATGCTTTACGAATATTCAGAGGTTGAATTCTGCATTATTTTGTGCTAAGAACCAAACATTATGGTAGTGTATACACCGATTATTATTGTTATAGTGGAAAACAACACAAGTGAGAACTATCGTATATATTTGAATATAAAATTACAGAATATCTTAGTAAAGTCTGAGAACCATACAGTAAATATTTCATTTGCAAAATATCCATCAATTGTCTCTGACTTTATTGTTCCTCCGTCTCCATATCAATTATTCTCTGTTCTTGTTCTCTTCTCTTCCATCTTCTTAACCTTCTGCCACCAGGAATTTCCCTTTTGATTGATGATAGATACTAGTTACATCTGCCAACCATACTAGTACGCACCAGATTATTACTAATAAACTTGGAAGCAGTTATTTTCCTTTAAATATACTTAACATGCTAAAAAGCAAGTTTTTATTTTCTCAAATATCTATACAGTTAGTGTGGGCTAACACAACAGACATTGGATGTGCTTCAAATAAATGTGATAACAGGTATATGGTCGTGTGTAATTACGCCCCAGGGTAAGTTATGACATTAAAACTTGACTTTTATTTCATATTTTTATTCTCTGATGTATATCAATAAAGCATGAAAAATCAATCAAACCCAAACTGATACGCAATAACGTGTTGTCTGTCGATATGACGTTCCTTTTTTACAGTGTGTGGTCTTGTTTTCTTAATCAACTGAAGTCGAAGTTAGACATTAACACCGTTGGATGCCAGCTCAGTGGTCTATCGGTTAAGGGCTTCGGCTCGAGACTGGTAGGTCCTGGGATCGAATCTCGCGAGAGCGGGATCGTGGGTGCGCACTGCTGAGGAGTCCCATAATAGGGCGAAACGGCCGTCCAGATAGAAACGTCTTTTACACATTTAACGAGGTTAACACAATACTTGAATATTTAAATCACTGAAACTGAGTCGAACTCTCCAGGTATAAGTCAATAATTTACTGCATACAACAATCAACTTTAATAGTGTTGTCAGATTAAAATATCACAATCTTACAAAGTAGTCCAGTTCTATAGAATGATTTTCATTTAATAAATAACCATTTTATAAAATTGCTATTACATATTTGATCCTGGAACTTGAACCTAGTACCGTTCGCTTCAAAAGTCATTGCGTTATCTACTTAGCTACTAAGTCCTGATAGCTATATGTATAAAATAGTTTTAAGAATTTTATAATTTCTTTTAAAATCTATTAACCATTTTATGGTCTTGTCATGTATTTGACCTAGACTCTAGCCAATTGTTATGACTAGATCAAGGTCGTTTCTGATTTGTTATGACCTTACGAATTTAACAAGGACGTAATCCGCGTCAATTATCCACCAATAGAATACGCCTTCTATGACATTCACACTGTGACAATGACGTTCAATTAGTATGAGTAATCTAACGTCCTTATTGGTCCTTATCCGACTAACCCGTCCACTTGAGTCCAAAACAACAATAGCAGCTGCTGTAATGCGAATCGTTTATTTCAAACATACATTGTCTATATACCAAACCGGCAGACCACACCATACTATAAAATAGAAAATAATATTTGTACAAAATCAAGTCAAACGTGGCTGAGAGCGTGGGAGACAGTCATCAATAAACCGAGTATAATTTAGGAACAATAAATCGTATATTAATGATCAATATATCAAAATGAAGCTAGTAATAAGATGAATATAGACATAGATAATCCAGTTACTGAATAGTTATACCATAAGGAATATAAATAGAATAATAGTCTAATAAGAGGTCCCGTAAGTTATTAGTACTTACTTTTTTCCTTGTATATAACATAAACCATTTCACCATTGATTTTATAAAGTAATAAATGTTACAATAAGTAACTTTGCTATTTATAATTCTCTGATATCAATAATCTATGATTTTGTTTTACCAGTTGTGAAATTTGGTTTTTTTGATTTTTGAAGAGAAACTTTGTAGGAGATATATTGATCATTATTATACGACCAGCATTCTCCAACTCACTCTATCCTGGGCCTCCTTTTCTAGTTCTATTCAGTTTTTGTTCATTCTTTTCATGTCAGTCTCCATTTCTCGACGTAATGTGTTATTTGGCCTTCAGGATTTCATGTGAGGGAATAATGAAAAATTATTCACCACTATCTAGTAATGTAAAAACATCTAAGTTTCTTAATATTTCATTCTGGTATTGAACTTCTTAACCTTACTCTTTCACAAATTCAACTGGGATCAAATAACCGACTTCCAACCTTCACAACTGATGTCATTTGATTGGAATCCAACTATTATATACTAGGAAAAAAGTAAGTACTAATAACTTACGGGACCTCTTATTAGACTATTATTCTATTTATATTCCTTATGGTATAACTATTCAGTAACTGGATTATCTATATCTATATTCATCTTATTACTAGCTTCATTTTGACCTATTGATTATTACTATATGATTTACTGTCCCTACGTTATGCTCAGTTTTATTGATTATTGTCTCCCACGTTCCCAGCCACGTTTGACTTGATTTTGTACAAATATTATTTTCTATTTTATAGTATGGTGTGGTCTGCCGGTTTGGTATATAGACAAAGTATGTTTGAAATAAACGATTCGCATTACAGCAGCTGCTGTTGGTGTTTTGGACTCAAGTGGACGGGTTAGGCGGATAAGGACCAATGAGGACGTTAGATTACTCATACTAATCGAACGTCATTGTCACAGTGTGAATGTCATAGAACGAGTATTCTATTGGTGGATAATTGACGCGACTTACGTCCTTGTTAAATTCGTAAGGTCATAACAAATCAGAAACGACCTTGATCTAGTCATAACAATTGGCTACAGTCTAGGTGAAATACGTAATAGTTTATTTTAGAGTTTACTTTAAAAATTGGCTATTGAGGTAAAGATTTATTGATCTAAATTCAACTTAATATTGTTTGTTTGAATCTTCCCATCGATTTGTTAGGACTGCAACTGGTCAGTCTCAAGCACAAGCAAGTGGCTATCAGGACTCAGTGGCCGAGTGGATAACGCGATGGCGTTTGAAGCGAGGGTACTGGGTTCGAGTCCCAGAGTGAACATCAACTCTGAGATGCAGGTACATCCAGCTGACGAGTCCCAAATAGGACGAAACGCACATCCTGTATTCCACTGTTAGCCACTATCCACCTATTTATTGATCTGCTTCTAATATATGTCATATCCTTTTTTTTGTATCTATGGTATAAGTCGGGGTTTTTTTTAAATAAAAATCTTTCTTATATTATTTGAGGTAAATGTCAACAGGTTTTAGATTTCCAGCAAAATCATGAAAGTTATTTACATGGTTCGAATTAACTTGATTCTATTGTATATATTTTTTCATAAAGACAAATTATTTTTATGATTATACTGTCATTTAGTTTCTAAGACTGTTATATCATCAATAAAGATCTCGAGCTAGGACTACGGAAATGTTTATAGCTAGCTCATACAACTACTTTATTATTTGTGTGCTCTCTGTAATCTTAACATTTAATCCACTTTGTAAATTTATGTGTTAGTCTGATTGAGCGCATGTGTCTGCACATTAATCCTTAATCTGTTCTTTCATCGATTGTACACAAAGACAATCAATAGTTTATCAACAACCATTAACACTCATCAATATATATGGATTTTTAACACTCACACACACACACACACTCACTTGCTTTCCCTGTGTGTTTGCTTTCTCTACGCTTGCGGATTTTACCGAGCTTCATCAATAAACTATCTCTATAACTGATGTTCAGGCTTTTGAATAATCTCGAGTAAACCCGTAATTCTACTAGGAGATTTAGCCTGCAGTAAATAATCAGTTAACGGGATATTATTCATTTATTGGAGTCAGATATAGAGGAATTAATCCTCTACAAAATTGTTTAACCCGACGTGTTCTAATGTGAGACGAACAAAAAGAATATTAGACAGCAAGATCCCCTTGTTTACATCATTTTTAGTTGCCCAGCTAATAGGTTAGTAGTTCAAATTCCGATTGACACAAACTACAATTTGAATAGATTCAACTAAGATTTTCTATATTCAAGCTTAGTTAAGTTACTCTGAGTAAGTGATTATGCATTATGGAGGTAAGTATTGAAATCTGTATTAACGTTCTTCATATAAAATAATAAAGAAAAAAAAAGAAGGAATTTAAGCTGAAAATCAGCTTATCGCAAACTGAATGTGAAAGAATTTTAATAGATAGTTGATGATAAATGGATTTCTGTTCCATTTTAAAGAAATAATTTACCCACCAATTAATGATTTACATGTTGAATTATAATCTCATCATTTCGGTGAGATTATAATTTATAGACGAGCTAATCAGAGGCGTTTGATGAATGTCAAGGTCATCGCTCCGATTTCAGTACCTGATCTCATGTACGATCGGTTCACAGAGGATTTTAGAGAAAACGTGATAATTGAGCAGCTACAACAAATCGGACTACTAAGAATTTCTTTTGTTTGTAATTGTAACATTCAAAATACTTATGGACCTGGTGCAGACAACCGTGATGATATCTTTTGACATATTATATATTGTAGGTAAATTTCTTTTAGAATTGGATTTTTTCACTCTCTTCAGATTGAGACTAAAACAAATTATGACTATTTTTCAGAACTGGATAATAAGAGCGGTATTAGTACTAGCTGCACATGGGTAACACAGTGTACATGGATGATTAGAGAGCGTACAGATGCCTACATAGACTTCATTATGCGTATCGTGTCGTTAACCACAAGCGGCATTTTATGGACTCAACAACCAGGGTGCACACAAACAATACTGAAGTTATGGAATCGAGTGTGAGAGAGTTTTTGTTACCTTGTTATGGATTCAGGGGTCGACTATTATGGAGCTATATGGATGACTTCCTCTACCACATGCATTAGGATTTGAGAATCTCTGAACTAGTTTCTAATCCCGACAAATTTCAAACCATGAAAAAGAAGTGTATCCACTTTATTTCTTTGGTTTTTAATATATTTTGGTTTCTACTAACTGTCTTCCGATTGGTTAATATTTCTTAAGGTCATTTAAGATTCATTCAAAGGCCGTCCATTTCAAAATAAATTCTCTTTATTATAGAGTTGAGATCATGAGTCAATTGAAGCTAGACTACCATGGAAAACCTGGAAGCACTGGACGGCCGTTTCGTCCTATTATGGGACTCCTCAGCAGTGCGCGTCCACGAACCCACTCTCGCGGGATTCGAACCCAGGACCTACCAGTTTCGAGCCGAAGCCCTTAACCGATAGACCACTGAGCTGGCATCCAACGGTGTTAATGTCTAACTTCAACTGATTCACGAAATTGAGCAACCATTCACCAATTGTCATCAGTGAGTTCCTATCTCACAACAGACCTGGTTGAACTCCACCGGTTACTGCTTCTCACTAGAACTCCAGGAAATACCTCAAGGAGTCAGTCACTAGTGAGCATCTGATTATTATCAGAAGGGGTTTTGTGAAGATTTTAGCACTGCTGAGGAGTCCCATAATAGGACGAAACGGCCGTCCAGTGCTTCCAGGTTTTCCATGGTAGTCTAGCTTCAATTGACTCATGATCTCAACTCTATAAAAATACTAAAATCTCCACAAAACCCCTTCTGATAATATTAAAACTATTCAGTTGCAACTATGCATTTAGATTTAATCTATTGTTTTATACTTTTTTTCTTTCTGTATTCCTTAGGGCCAATGATGAAAGGCCATATGAAAAAGACTAAAAAAAAAGTAGTAAACCCGGTCACAAAAAAGAAAAGGTTGCTGAGTATGAGTAAATAGAACTGTTCATGATATCAAATAACTTATTTTAAATAGAAAAATGAAATTACATTCGAGAACAAAGATATATACATATATAGTTGTATTTACTCTTTTCATTGTTACCATTAATATGAATATGCGATTCACTGAATACGTTTTTATAGCCGACACAAGGAAGATGGATGAAATCGAAATTTCTGTTCTCATTAGTCAGTGGTGATAACTGTGGAGAAAAAAATTCTTATAATTCCAAAAGTGACATCTTCGTTGCTAGTTACTGTAAACCAGATGACTTCTTTCGGCTCTCTTCTTTATGCTACTATACTGTCCTAAGTTTTTGGTATCATCTAGTGTTGACAATCTAAACACCCTGTCGAACGAATTGCGAGGAATTCTGCGATTATCTGTGGATTTTTTTGTTTTGGGTTTATGTAGATGCGTTTGTATGATAATTAGAATTATTCGAATTATTGTATAAATAGGAATCCGCGAAATAGTGCGATTTAGGTCAAACAGAACTAGGTGGACACTAACGAATGTACTGTATTTAGAATTCAAAATAAACAAGAAATTAGGTACAAATTGTCCATTAATTTATACAAACATCACAGTATGTACCCGGGAGATAGGGTTTGTGGAACTATATGTTATCGCATTATCAACTAGTAGATAGGTCAGTTGAAATATGAGAGTTATAAAATTAGAATATAAATGAACGAAGAAAAGACAATGGTCAGGAAATGTAAGTTAACTGATCACTCAAACAGTACAAAGAAACAAAGGAGTAATAATGTTATAATTGTATATTTGCTAATAAACCCAGCTATTCCTATTGTGGTGTGGCCTACTTATATCCATATAAGTAGTATATGGTGTGGGTCAGACATAGAATGTATTTTCGCAGAAGACCGATGAGCAAAGAACTGAAATGAAGCGCAATCGTTTGGAAAATGCATGAGCAATGGAATAAGAGAAGAAACAGTGAAGATTGAAACAATTGTTTGTTATTTTGCAAATTGACTGTTCATTGTTTGGTAATCAGAATTTACTGAGATAGTCTGTAATGTTTGCTTAAATACATTCGATTGTCCCCAACTAGTGTTCTGTTCACTACACTATTGCTTAGTATTCTTATACGATGACACTCGACAAGACCCCAAAATCAGAACACGTTGAACAGGAATCAATAGTTTAAATATCATTCATATATTTATAGTATATACATAAGAAGCTTATAGATTTTTCTGCAATAATATGCCCGGGCTGATCGGTTTAAAAATTAACCAATCAGCGCGCAGCAACACCATCATGCATAAAACATGCATACATGAAACATCCAATCTATATCCCACTAACAAATAATGACACATAAATATAGAAGTGCACAGAAATAGGACAATCATTTTAATAATAAATCGTGAATCGTTATGGTGATAATAATAGATAAATTACTGGACATTCTTCAGGCATAAATATGATAGGAGTTAAACTGTGAACCACGTATGAAAATGTGGTTGTATGATATTTGTACTTGATCACTCACTCATTGTGAACTTCAAATGTCATACGTTCACTTGTGCTCATTTATTTTTTTGTCTTCAGATAGACTATTATGGAAATTTCTAGTTAGCAAAAGAATTTGACCTCTTCTAATTAAAATAGGTTTTTAAGTTTTATCTCGTGGCTGTCACATCGTTTAGGAGAGGATTAGAAATGAGGCCAGTTCAAAATTGAGAAAAGTATGACGCCCTTTTGAGTGTTCGCTCTTTGATATGTCGTCTTTCGGAGACCACTTCTTGAAATACAGTGATGAGGTTCTAGAAGAATGGGTTTTTAGTAACTTTACATACTTAGTATGCTGTATAACATTATCAGACTACTACTCATTTTTCTACAGAGAATTATTTTCTCATATGATTGTCCCGCAGTACAGTCGTTCACTTAGTTGATTATCTTTGCATGTGTTCTAAGAGACTTTTATTTCTTGAGGAGACAAAATATATCACTTTGAAGTCTCAGGATGAGGCTGTATGTATGCTTTAAGTAGTTATGAAACCGTTTTGGAGTGAGGTATACTCAGGCTGTCGTAATATGAAATGAAAATTCGCATGTATTTTTGTCTACATCAGCATTTTACTTTATACTGGTGTTCAGGTTCTATGTAGTTAGTGGACTAAGTTTGTAGGATTATGGTCTAGTTCGTTTAAGCACTACTATAACAAGAGAGCAGATCCTGAAATTGTAGATTACGCTCTCAAGGCCGAGCCATACCATCTTATTGAATGTATGTTTTCCGTGCCTGTAGGTAACCCTCGTTCTATTGATAGAAGAAATCAGACTATTAGCGAATAGGCTTTTGTTCAGATCGCGAGACAATCACAATGGAGCGGCGGATCACCTTTTCAAACACACAAAGCTTTTCAAAATTCAATAGAAAATAGTAGGAAATAAAATGCCTATACAGAATAAGTGAGTGAGTACGTGAGCTCTATCATTTTAACATATACTTAGTTATTCGAGGTGAACTTTTAACTAATCAACCTAGGCTGTCACATGTTCCTGCGTTCACTGTTGATGACCTTCTCTTAATGTTACACGTTGAAAGTGAATCCTCTCAACGATTACATGTTCAGCTTCGAGGACCGTTTGGTTAAAGACCAATACCACCACAAGTATACACTCTGTGAATGTGATTGAAACAGAATATTATGGATGAATTAAGTTGTTTGTGTCACATGAGCTCGATTGTCCATAACGTGGCATTGTGCAGGATTGAGATTTAGATAATTTGTTCTCCCCCTGTCCCCAAGTAACTCGTAGCCCTTTTACAGCCAAGAAAATCCATCCTTGAATATTAAGTGTTCCGTGATTCTGATTTCACACTCTTAAATAACGGCCAGAGAGAAATTTTATGCAGAAGATGGTTTATGAAATCGTGATGGGAAAGGGCCCTATGGTTTTTCCTTGAGAAACTGTGGACGTTGAGACAGCCAATTTTGTGTGGTTTTTGCCTAACAGGATGAAAAGCGTTCACTTCTTCAAGTAGTATCTCAGCTATGAGAAAAATAAGGTAATGGAGCTCACATTCACAATCTTCGTTACAATGGCGTCAGTTGCCTTTGTAAATTCAAGGAATACCTCATGAACTGGTACTTTCTGTTCGTAGTATGTTGCCTGGCTTGCCTGCGCTGTGAAGGGGCCTGCGTTTGTCAGAAATTTGATGCAGAAATGTCGCAGTCGCAATAACTATGACAGTAGTCGATAAAGACACCTAGACTGGCAATACAGTGCTTCAGCCTTTGTTTGATCATGTTTGCAAAGTTTACTACTATGGTTGTTTACCTGCGAGAGAAAACATAATTAATTTTTCGGTTTTTCTTTACTATTTTAACTGGCAGCTGAAAATCAGTGATCCCCGGTGATTTTAAAGTATGAACTTTGAAAAGAAAGGGACCCACGAAATAATGAATAAGATGAAAGCCGGAAGTCGACTGCTCATTAGAATAACAAATTGTAAACAAAAGAAAAAAGACTAGTTGATTGTTAACCGTCTTAGCACAAGATTTGAAAACATTCACATACCTGGGAAGCATCATTCATGAACAAGGAGGATCTGATGCAGATCTAGAGGCGAGGAATGGCGAAGCAGCAACAGCATTCCTGCAACAGAAGAACATATGTAACCCAAAACAACTGTCAATCAATATCAAAGTCACATTCTTCAATACGGATGTTGAGACAGTCTTACTGTACGGAGATGAATCTTCAAGATCTACTACAGTAATCGTCAAGAAGGCACAACTATTTATAAAATGTTGTCTACGAAATATACTCAGTGTCTGTTGGACGGATACCACGAGCAATAGCTTCTTATGAGAAATGACAAACAAGATTCCACATGAAGAGAAAATTAGGAAAAGACGATGAAAGTGGATAGGACATACATCGAGAGGAGCCCTAACTTGGAATCCTGAAGGGAAGCGGAAAAGAGGAAGACCAAAGAGCACATTACGTTAGGAATGAGAAGTAGACATTGAAAGGATGAATGTCAACTGGAAATAACTGTAAAGGATTGTCTATGAGTGTTGGATGGGTGGTGAGCAGCCTATGCTCCTCCGTGAGGAATAACAAGCGTAAGTAGTTAAGTAGCACAAACCGAAAAAAAGTAATGGAATAAATTAGGCATTTGAACTTGCTTCTTCGTAGCCCTGTTAATCATAATGTGATCTGTTTGTGGTTTTTCGTGTATGTCTGTAGTCTATACTGTAGTTGGCTCTCTGCTACTCAACATCAGGAAAGACTGGGTCACCTATTTGTCACTGATTAGACTAGTACACCGTAATACTTCACGTTTATTTTCCTTTGTATGAAATACACATATATGAAAAGCTTTTCATGTGACTATAATGTATAGTCGACGAAATATGTTCAAAGTTGACCAAGGAATATATACTATCGGCATTTCCATTGTTTCATAATAATGCAGTCAAGAATGGATACTAAAAATCGAAAATTCGGGCGAGTTTATCATGTAAAGCGTGTTTTGGAATGCTGGGCTGCAGTTATGTGATTTAAAAGATAAGTACTTTCCCGAAAACTGAGCATTCCTGCTTAGCTGTATTTTACACAGACCAATAAAAATGACTTTTACATGCCAAGTTATTACGTAGACGGTGATCGTGTTCTGCTACCAAAACGGTAAAAATACGAATTAATGCCATGAGAAACGTTATTATCTTCATTTACTCAAGAAATTTATAAAACCTGCAGAAGTTTTTTCTCTCCTCATATGGTTGATTTATGTTCTCTCAGCCATTGTAACTTGTGGTTGCTAGGCTGTGACTTATAGGCTAACAAGTTAGACAGTGACAAGTCAGTTCCGAAAGTTAAAAACTGGTCTGACATTCAAAACCATATATTCAGTAAAAATATAGACTTGAAAACAGTGGCTTCTACCCAT